GGGGGGGGAGGGAGAAAGTACTTTTGACCTCCCAAAAGCTTAGCCAAAGAGGCTCTTAGTTGTTGACTCGTTTCTAGTTACTGGAGTATTTAATTAAGAGATAACACCTGTTATTCTTTTTTCAAATTTATTTTGAGAAGGAAAATAAAAATTTATTTGGTGCTTTTAGCAGCATTATTATATTTAGGATAAGTTGTTTGGTTTCGTGAATGTGAAATGAAAGAGGTACCTTTTGAATTCCACCTCTTCATCTCACCCTTTCATTGTCTATAAATTGAGAGACCTCGTTTTTTACACATAGAAAATCTGAAAACTTCACCCCTCTTTTCTACATTGTTGCATTATTTTTCCAAATAAATAAAGTGACAAGTGTGATTTGGTCCATTTGTTGAGTTCGTTGAAGTTCTATAATTTCGATTGCCAATATTACAGAATAGTTTTACCGTTCTATCCTGGGAAGAAGTAATCCATAACCTTGGGCAACAATGAGGGGATTAAATTCCTTAAGGACACACAAGCAACTTGTGGGTTCGGAATTATTTTACGATTTATTTATTGAACTACCGTTTCTTTTTATTTTCTGGTTTCGAACACATATTACTAACCATCTTAAGAAATTTAATAAAAATTATTTTCAGATGGCTGATGGAGAAAAGGTAGACAGAAACGGTGGCCATACCTTTTTACGAGCGAGTGCAATCTTTTGGATTGGCATAATAACAAAACTACGACTTATTAAAGCTCGCCCCCCCCCTTTTTTCCCTCTAAAGCCCCTCGCTCCACTCATTTTTGAACTTCTAATCAGACTTGGCTGAACTTTCCACGACATAGATCAAAGGGTCGACGTCGTGGTTGTTCGGATAAGTTTCATCCAATGAATTTGTTTTTGTCGTTCTATTAGTATGTAGGAAATTCACCTTACATAGCAATGATGGCGTTAAATCAGATATATTCAATGGAATGGTTTATCATGGTTGATTAATATTTTTGGCAATTCTCAGCTCCTACTCTCTTGTAATCGACGTCATATATACTGCCTGGTTCACAGAATGAGGTTTGTTCAAGATTGAATGCAGAATTACATCCATGAGGGAATAATTGGTTATTAGATATGACAAGTAGACGGTATTTTAGTCGAAGAAGGCTTCGTTCCGTGGCTTTACATCAAAAGTAGCCTAATATAAACAAGGTATAAATTATATACAATAAGGTCATTGGAAAATTTTTCTGAAGCGAATGTGTGTGTCGGAAAAGCAAAAGTGGAGGAACTCCTTGGTTCACGGCAATTAAAGATTTCTCCAGTGAATTATAAATTGTCAACAATCCGGTTCTACTCTCTTTGCTCTATTTCTTTTTAAGTAATTTTCTATCCTGTGTGATTTGTGAAATTCAATTTCTGCAAAGCTTAGGATAGAAGCTTATTATATGATGATCTCAAAATATATGTTACTTGCATGTTGTGATGATTATGAATAACATGAGGCTAGAGAATAAGTTCGTTTTCTGTTTACCATATGGCATCCGGGTAGTTGATATACAACTTGGTAACATGAATGAAAATATGCGAAAGATTATTTTTAAGGTTGTAAGTGTGAATTAGGCTTACATTGATGCTTGAAAATTATTTTTGAGCATGAAAATGGAAATTTTATATTTATCAATAAAAATATAAATATGTTAGTTTGATAAGAATAATATATCAAATTGTTGAAATGTTTGGGGTGCAATGGTTGAGTTGGAAAATCATTTGGAAAGGGAATTAAAATTCTCGTGATTTTCTACACCCGTTATGGAGACTAAAATCTTCGTGATTTTCTACTCCTGCTTCGAGATCAAAATCTGCGTAATTTTTTATTTGTTCATTTAGATTAAAGTCTTCGTGGCTTTCTACTCATTTGTCGGAAATTAAAATCTAAGTGACTTTATACTTGTTTTGGAGATTAAAATCTTAGTGATTTTTTACTCCAATTTATTACTCGATTTGAAGATTAAAAAAAACTTCACCGTTTATCAGATTTAGTTGTATCAGATATTACTCGATTTGAAGATCACCTTTAATTAATTTGAAATGTGTCAGATTGGTTTGAAGATTAAAAACTTTACCATTTATTAAATTTGGCTCTGTTTGTAACGACCCGGCCGGTCGTTTTGAGCTCTAGCACGTCGTTCGGCAGTTTTAGGCCATGAGTAGCTTCACTTCAGGCACGCATGGTCGGAATTGAATTTCGGGAAGTTCGGAGTTGATTTGGAAAGAAAATTCTCATTTCGGAAGCTTTAAGTTGAAATGATTGACTAAGGTTTGATTTTTGAGTAAACGACCTCGGTATCGGGATTTGAAGGTTCCAACAGGTTCATATGATGATTTTGGACTTGGGCGTATGTATGGATCGGGTTTGGGATGACCCGTGGGCGTTTCAGCACCAATTGTGGAAGTTGGCATTTTTCGAAGAATTTCATAAATTTGGGATGCAGTGCATTTCAATGTTATCGTTGTCCGTTTGGGATTTCGAGTTTGGGAATAGCTCCGTATGGTGATTCTGTTATTGTGAGCGCGTCCGGAAGTGGATTCGGA